TGTCTCTGTGGATAATATTCTTCGAGTGGATGTACTGTAGACGGGAAATTAATTGATCGGACAACATTAGCACAGTTTTGACACTAAATTTTCTTCCGCAACAGTTAAATAGGTCTTCGAGGCTCGGACCGAGTAATTCCATGACTAAAGCATTATAGTGTTTATATTTTCCAAACCACATAATTTTGGGGATGCCGCAGCCTCCTTGCAAGATATTATAAACCCTATACTCTATCAAAACTTGCGAGTGTTTGAGAGTAAAAGACACTAATTTAACTGCAACTTGCTCTCCATTTTCGGTATTTAATCCGAGGTATATATCCCCGAAAGATCCATTGCCTATTTTATTTGTTAGACGATATTTTCCACCAATAATTTCGGATGATGTAATCGATTCCATCGGATTCAATATTATGCTGTTGTATAAAACTTGAAATTTTCAAGCTATTATTTGCGAAAGAATATAATTATTTTTTGATTATTGTTAGAAAAATAACAATGGAACCGATGAACAAAAGCGAAACAAATTTTAAAATATTTAAATTCGCTTACTTTTGCATTCTTTTAAGTGGACAGCAATTGAACGATATCGTTAGAAAAAATTATGATCTTAAAAAATTAATATTACCTCCAAAAAATTGTTTCATTCACAGCCGAATATTAAATGACAATCTATCAAATTTCGCGAAAAACAGACCAAATATTTAATTAAACTCGGCATCCTCGAAAACCACTTAAAACGTATTTTTTGCTCGCCAGTAATCTCGTATTATATAATTTTCTTATTCGAATGCCACCATACCGATAGGAAGATGGGAGGGATTTGAAGTTAATTCGACCAAAAGCAGTAGTTGGCCTCCTCCTGAGAGAGAGGATGGTCAACGACTACTAATTAATACCGGTCTACTATTAATTAATATTTGAAAAGTGATCCATGTTGGATAGATTGTGACGGCCCTGCATGTGATTGAAGTTGTTAACCTTAATGTCCGAAAGACTTGATATTAGACTTGTTTAAATAAAAAAAATCTTGTAAAAATGGAGAATAAATTGCTTTTATGAATAATTGCGAGAATAATTGCTTTTATATGATCCGGTAAAAAACATTGGCGAAACCAGGTTGAAAAAGTCAAGCTCAGCAAACACAGTAAAGGAAACTTGAAACTTGTGGCATAAGCTATCGTATAAGCTATCGTTACCCGGCATAACTACCGTATTGTGGCATAAGCTATCGTTACCCGGCGTTGCTCGGACCGCCGGGTAACGATAGCTTATACGATAGCTTATTACACTTATTACGTTATAGCCGATCTTACCCTTTTTCACCGAGTGCAAGAATTAGGTCCCCCCAGTAGCGTAGCGTAGTGGGGGCGGCAGGGGCGGCCCGCCCCGGGCGGCACTTTTTAGGGGGCGGCAAAATTTCACAATAAATAATAATAATATCTTGTAAGAATTTGAACCTTTTTATTTCATATTTTATCCACCTACGACTCGGACCGATTGAAATGAGCACGGAATAGTGTTACCATCCATCCGGATAGTCCGGGAATCAACTCACCGTCGGGGGATATGGTGCGCAGTCTGTTGACCTTTTTTTTCTTGTACGATTTATTCGTACATATATACACCTCCAGCATCCAATACAGCTAGGTCACTTGCGTTACTCCTATCCAAGTCTCCCTAGTCGCTAACTGTAACTGATTTAAAACAGCATACACTGCACATCATTCTTCGCATTGCAAAATGACATACGCATGCATCAGGAACTTCTATTCGAACAAACCTCACCTGCCGTCGGGTCAGCGATTTTAATAAGGTGGCAACACTAACACGGAAATTTTCATTACTTATTCTGTGACGAAACTGAATTTTAGTTTTTTAAATTGAGATACCTAAATAAGGGGGCGAAATTTTCCTCCGCCTCGGGCGGCTGACACCCACGCTACGCCACTGGGTCCCCCCTCTTTTGAGACTAAGTAGAAAATTTTTATATATTGCTTACAACACTGGGATAACGATAATTAAGATTCACAGCAACCACTAAGCAGTGCATAGTACCAATAAGTGATGAAGAACAAACGTTTTTGTAACCCTTTCCTGGGTTCTTCTTTAGGTTTACTAAATTCGAAAAATAAGCTGGATCTCCCCGAATCATTCGTAAATATAAATTCAAACATAAAATCAAACATTAAGACGAAGAGTTCGAATAAAGCAAACTTATGCACATGCACTCCCCGTGTCAACTTTATATACGATGGAACACTAAATATCGTTGAGAATTTTTAGAAGGGTCTAAAAATATGTTCGATTTCCCGCATAAATGCAAAAAAGGCATTTAAAATAGTACAAGTAGAAACCGAGTTCTTCGGGGTAATCCTTAACCCCCTCTCTCTCTCCCTGCGGTGGGAATTTCAAAAAATCCCTTCTTCGTGTGTATTCTCATGACATACCCTAACTGTGTACCCAATTTCACCTTTCAACTCCTAACCGTTTGGATTCTGCGCTTATT